GCCTTCCTAAGAGGCAACAAATTCACTTAAGTTTAAACAAAATTCTTCCAGATATATTTATACATATATATACACAGGCACATATTCACACACATATACATATATATGCACATATATATACATACACACATATATACACAATCACACATATACACATATACATATGTACACGTACAGCATGTACACACAAACATGTGTATACATACAATCACACAGACACATATATGCACACATATGTATGCATATAACATACACATATATGCACACATATACACACAAACCTTTGCATACATATACACATACACATGCCCATATACACATAAACATATACACATATATACATGTACACACATGCATATATACATATGCACATATATGCATGCATGAATATACACATACATCCACATATATGCATGCATATACACACTTACACCCAAGTGTATACACATATACACACACATATATACACAAATACACATACATATGTGCACACATATATACACATTTATATGCACACATATACATACATATACACACACTAGTGTACACATGTGAAATCATTGCATTTCAAGGAATTTATGTAAAGTAATACTTGATAACTTGGCAAGCATGTGAAGAATACTTCCTACCCACAAATATAAAACTATAATGTTATTTACCATTAAAAGACTTTTCCCAGACTGGAGAGATGGCTCAGCTGTTAATAGCACTGACTGCTCTTTCAGAGGACCCAGGTTTGAATCCCAGCACCCACAGGGCGGCTACAAACCATCCTTAACTCCAGTTCCAGGGAAATCTGAAGCTCTCTTCTGACCTCCATGACATTGCACAGCACGGGTGCACTCACATACATGCAGGCAATACACTCATACACATAAAATAAAAATAATAAAATATAATGTTTTTAAAAATTAAAAAAGAGACTGTTTTCCCAAATAACATAGTGTTTATCTCTCTGGCTAAGATTTTGGATGATGTCCTTATTAACATTTTATAGTCATCAAATCTTGTACAATACTCCTACAGATATACTTTGTAATCTACATGCATTGTGTTCAGTATATATTTACCAATAATAAATATATTTTTAAAAATCTTTTTAAAACCATCTCTTCTCTAAAAACATACATAAAATGTTAAATAGCATGATGGCTCCAGGAAAATAGATGGGTTTGTTCAAGCATTTCCCTTACTGCCTGCATGTGACCCTGGAGCAGAAAGCTCGGATTCCTGGAGAAGCGGAGAGGTACCTGTGCCCAAACTTCCAGCTGTACATATTTAAGCAGCATTTTGCTTGTTATTTCTATATTTGCTTAACTGTCTGTACTTGTTTGCTGCATCCTAGAAGTGCTTTTCTATGTTTTGCCTTAAATAATATTCTCTTCAGGGAGAAAATCCAGGAGTGTGGAGTCTTTCCCGTGGAATGCCAGGAGAGTGCAATAAGAAATCGGATGCTGTGCAATGCTCTTGACATCACTAATGAAGATCAATAATTATTTCTGGCACTAATTAGTGTAACTAATGTTTCCAGTGTCACAGAAGTATGCCTCAGAGCAGCTGGGAGACCCCTTCTGTTGTAATTCCGTGTCTCTGGGACTCACCCCCAGTCTGTGAGGTTTGATGCCACAATCATTTCTTTACATAGTACCAGGTACTGATCTGTTTTACCAGGTACAATTACAAAACTGAACAGGTCAGCTGTCAAATTTACAGTCAAATGCAGGCTCAAATGAATTTGGTCTTCACTGACCAACATTGGAATATCTCATTCTTCCCCAGTCACCCTGGGAAAGGAGAAGGTATGAATCAGAGGCGAGTTGGTCCCACTTCTAACACAGATAGAGAAAGCAAGGCCAGTTTCTGCTCGATGAGGCCAGAAGGAATCTTGGGAGCAATTTCTCCCCCATTTTAAAGATGGAGAAGCCATTGAATCAGGCATGTTATCTGTGAAGTGTACCCAGAGAGGTGTGTTTCTGCATTCTTCTAGAATGGCTGGGCCATGAGTCTACATGGAGTCATGTAGGGGCCACATCAGCAGCTTAAACGAGCAGGGTTGGCAGGGAGGCAGGAGCTGGGTTGTCAAGGGAAACTTTGCATCCTTGAAAGTCTCCCAGGTAATGACTGGAAATGGTTCTGAAAGACAGGTTGACGCTGGGCGAAAGAAATACAAGTTGTACAGTTCCTGGCCTGTGAGGGTCTGTCAAATGAATAGCCTGAAGGCTAAGCCAATAACCCATGTAATCAGAGCTGACAATGAGTTATACCTCTCAGTGATACCCTGTGTGTGCATGTGTGTACATATGCGTGTGTGTATAAAATCATGGACAACTTCAGTGTCCTACACAATCTGTGCTGTGTCCACTTTACATAAAGGGGTTTAAGTAGAATGACTAACTGCATCACTAAGGGAACAGCAGAAACTTCCAGAACTCTAATACCTCATTGTGTAGATCCCAAAGGCTCATGTGTTGAAATTTTGGATGTTGGGAGGTGGTAGAACTTTCTGGAACTGGAATCTAGTGGAAGAGAATTAAGTCACCTGGGGGTATAACTGTAACAGGAGTATTGGTTCTCTCTCTCTCTCTTCTCTCTCTCTCTCTCTCTCTCTCTCTCTCTC